GGTGACGTCTGTGCCGGCTTTGCAGAAGGGGGCTTTCCAGACGTCGGCGGTGGCCATCGAAGGCGCGCACGTGCCCTGGACTTCATCAAGCCAAAGGGGACCCCTCGCGCGGGTGCTTCAAGATCACCGTGGCCGTTTCACAGACATCAGTGCAGGGTGGTCTGGAAAGGGGCATGACGCACGCAGCTTCAGGAGCCGGGGCCTGTAGAAAACTGCAGGCTGGGACTTTTTTTTTTTTAGACGTCGGCGGTGGCCATCGAAGGCGCGCACGTGCCCTGGACTTCATCAAGCCAAAGGGGACCCCTCGCGCGGGTGCTTCAAGATCACCGTGGCCGTTTCACAGACATCAGTGCAGGGTGGTCTGGAAAGGGGCATGACGCACGCAGCTTCAGGAGCCGGGGCCTGTAGAAAACTGCAGGCTGGGACTTTTTTTTTTTTTTTCCCCCCCCAGATCACAAAATTACAGTGGGGGATGTGGAAATGCCCCTAGTGATCCTGGAATACCTCTTACAGCCCTGGCTCACAAAACCTTACACGGAGCACCTGGACAGCAGTAGGGAGTGACTGAACACCAGGCTAAGCCAATGCTGCGTGGCCGTTGAATGTGCCTTTTGCAGATTGAAAGGCAGGTGGAGGAGTCTCAATGGCAGGCCGGACCTTCTGAGGGAATCCTATCCCCGTGGTGGTGGCTGCATGTTGTTGACTGCATAATTGGTGTGAGACAGAGAGACGTGTTTGACCATATGTGTAGCACTGAGGCACAGTGCCTGGCTGCACAGTTTGAACATTCAGACACTCGAGCTTTTAGAGGAGCTCATAGGGCAGCAATCAACACCAGGGAGCCGCTGAGGAACCAATTTGACAATGACGGGTGCTCACATGTCAGTGTTTTGGGGGTTTCTTCCTTGCTTCCTCCTGCTACTCATCCTGACCAAGGCATTCCCATGAAATCAAGGGATGATACAGGCTTGCACAGGGGCCAGAGCGATTGGTATGAGTCGTGTCACACAAAATAAACTCATTGAACTCTTCATCAGTTTTGTCTTTATTGATCCCTTTCAAACATGGTCACACACAGAGTGATGAATGAATGCTTGCTGGCAAGGGAAAATAAGGGTTATTGGAAAACCTCACAATTGTGTTAATATCCTTCTATCAAAGTCACAGCTGCTGTGATGGGAAGTGGAGTAGGATGGTAAAAAAAACATTGCCAGACAGTGAAAAGGAGTGTGGGCATAGAGGGAGGGTTACTGAATACAGAATTTTGCATGTGATGCCAGGAAGGAAGAGTTGCCAGGTAAAGAATTCCTAATGTGCCTTGCTTGTGCAGCAGGTGTACATGGAAACAATTGTAGTCACTCTCATCTTGTTTACAGACCACCATAACTCTGGCTGATATCTCCTTGCTGAAGGTGAACTGGAAAACCCATGCTTTGCTTCTGGGTGCGAGCAGGAGGCACCATACTCCATATGCAGCGCAGCTCTGTCCCTTGGTCCCACAGATTGAGGAACAGTTTAAGAGAGCATCATACCACAAGGGTGGAGAAACAGCAGCCCTGCCATGGACTCTCCATAAGAAAATGAATAAGTACATCAGGAAAAGCTTGGACTTCGTTATCCTGCTAGATTACATCGATATCTGTGTGCATTAATGCCTGTTTGGACATAACACTGATGACCAAGACAGAGCATAGCTAGCTCATGGAAACAAAGCCTCCATTTGGCCCACACTGCCTCCATCTGCCCTCTGCATTGCAGTAGAGTAGTTTACCCATTGAGCCAGTAGGGGACAAGTGGAGAAAGGGACAGCTATCTACCATATATTTCAGAGACATGCACTCCTCCCTTATGTGTGTTAAGGACCCAAGCAACACTGGTTAAATCTGCTGCTTTTATATTCCATTATTCTACTGTGGGTAAGGTTACAGGACAGAGGACAAGTGGATCAGTAGGTGGCATTGGGACTCTAGGAAAACAGAGACTCTTCAGGATCACTGTTCCATAGAAGTGTCCCACGCATGGTGCTGTGATCATGCCACAGGTGCCAGGGCCACCTGGTTATAGGTCCTATCGAAGACAATGTAGTACTGTCTGATGAAGATGTCTCCAAGAATCCAGAGCTCCCCAGAGGAGGTGGGGACACCAGTGCTTTCAAACCCGGAGGTACAAGAGCCTGAATACTGCAGCAGGGAAAAACAGGACATGGTAATTCCTGGGCAGGAACTTCAACAATCCCTTGAGCCTTCATCCTATAGAGCTTGCACATGCCTGTGTATGTACTATCTTTGGGTTCTTTCAGCTCCCAAGTTGAGCAGTAGGCTGGGTGAGGGCTTAGATGAGAGACCTCTAGAGCCACAAGACCTGGCATTAGTGAGTTGGTTCCCAATAGGGATGTAAAAGGTGTTTTAAAATTGTAAAAATCCTAGCAGTTATATGGTGACATGTTGTGGGCTCTGCAGCATAAAGCTCAAATAATCTTTATGCTGCAGAGCCCCCAGCAAAACCTCGCTGGGAGCCAGCATGTAACCTGTGGCAAAGGGAGCACATTTTTATCATGGGGATGGAAATCTCCTTTTTGATGCCCAAAATGACCAGCAGCACAAGGCAGTGATCTCTCTCCATCTAGCTGGAATTGCTGCTTACTTAAACCTCTCCTGGCCTAGAAAGGCTCTTCCCTAGTGATCTGATGCTGCAGCCAATTCTACAGGCTGCCTCGCTGCCCTTCCAGGATGTGACTTTCACTGCAAGCCTGTTTTATCCTTGAATGTCTTGCCCCAGGATCCCTGTGGGGGAAGAGCTCTCTGCTCGCTCCTGCCCATTCTCATAGTGGGGACAGACTCTGGCCTGCATCTCAGAGATGCTTCTGCAGCCTTATGCTGGTTGGGTGGACTCAGGTGCCAACTTGCCCAGTGCAATTGCCTCAGGCTCAAGCCCTCGCTAGGAGGCCCCAGGGGGCTTTCTGAACAGGACACTCACGTCAAGGATGTAGGCGCTGGCGGGCAAAGGGAACTCAACGCCGTTGATGGTGAAGACAACGTCAGGCAGGCTGCTTATGGCGCTGCAGCTGACCTGCAAGGAGGAAGGCAGCACATGTAGGAAAGTTTAGGTGCATTTCAGGCATTAGGCTCTTCAGTGAAAGAGATGGAGCATCTCATCTGAGTGTAACTGACACCTCTAGAAGAATCTGTCCCTGCTCCCTGCCCTTACCGTGCCGTTGCTGGTACCAGTGTAGAACTCAATGTTGGAGATGCCAGTAGAGGGCCCAGCCAGCAGAGAAGTGCCGGTGTCAATGATAGCCTGGCAGCTGTTAGAGCAAGCAACGATCTCGCCATCGATGGTAATGCTGGAAGAGAGAGTCAGGGAAATAACCTCAGGAACATTCCTGATTTTATTCCCTCTTAGCCCACTGCCTTGCTGTGAGTGTCAAGAACTTTCCCCAAATGTTTCAGCCTAGACTTCTCCTTTCTTAGCTATTGTCCATCGCTCCTCATCCTTCAATGGTCTGGGATTGTAATAGATCTCAGCAGTGGCTCACAAACAGATGTTAAAGGGTCATGACCACCTTGCCCTTTCCTTTATTGCTAAGCAGACCTGGTCAGATGAGAGAGGGTTCATGGTGTGAACGAAGTAGAGCATTTGCTAGTGAGCCCCTTTTCCCATACCTTCAAGGAAGGTGTGATCCTAACTCCCAGGTCTCTCATATAATCTAGTCTGTAAACTGAGTTTCCCCCTGCTCCCAGACGCATCTTCTTTTGCCCATCTCCTCAAGGTTGCCTGAGGAAGGGGAAGGACCAGGGGAGTGGGTGGGGCGGTACCTGTCCATGGTGATTTGCCAGTAAGTCTCCGCAGATAGAGGGATCCAGTTGAGGCTGCCATTGTAGTAAGTTGAGTCAATAGTGCCGAACATCACAAAGCTCCCGTACTCCTCATTGCTGGAGAAGGGAGAGAGGAGAGCTAAGGAGGCTGAATGAATGGCTGCCTAACAAGACAATAACAAGCACTCCATCTGTTAGAGAAGGACCCCAGCTGGGCAGTGCTGGGGCAGAGTCAGTCTTGGGAATATCCATGTCTAGTAGCAGAGATAGGACAGGATGGCTGGATGACAAGGGGCCCTCACTCCTTACTTTATATCACTTTAGAGTGCCTCTTGCTACATCTCAAAAGCTAAGCATGCTTCGACCTGTCTGAAACCAGAATGGGCGACCTACAAGGAAAGGCCCAGCTGTTTGAGGCACTGGCTTCACTGATTCTGTAGGTGCTGTTCTTTCTGCTGAGTCAGTACTGAGTGGAGGGTTTAGTGTTGCGTCATGTGGGTGACACGTGAGGGGGAATTCTTCCCCCAGAAGTCATTTTAATACCAATTACCTACAGCAGCACTTGGCAGGGCCCTCATGCTCTAGTAATCATTAGAGATAGTTAGTAATGTTCATTTCTGCTCCCAATAGCTTACATCACTGGCATAGAATGGCTGCTGTAATCCACCCCAGAAGTGGCTCTTTCTGGCAAATTCTGATGCAAACATAACAGGGAACACTCTGTGTGAAGAGATGCTGATGGCCTGTTTCCAGCCCTGACTTACGAGCTCAGGTAGACGGAGAAGAGGTCCTGAGACACCAAACTCTCATTCATCATGTTGTCAAAGACAGGGGTGGCTCCAGAAGAGGCGATGCTGGGGAAGGCCAGACCCAGGATCCCATCAAATTCAGAGTACTCAAAGGCTGTACCAGGCTCAGTTTCACTCAGGCCAAAGATCTGGTTAGTGTCCATAATGCCTCCAACCTTGAGGGCACAATCAGACACATGCTACACCCATGGAGAAGTTGCCACGTCCTACTAGAGGGACCTTAGTGGGTGGGGAGTTCTCAGAGGTTACTGTGTCCAGAACTCTGCTCTCTCACACATATAGGAAGAGTCTGTGAATGGCTAGATTACATGGATAGTCACTATTGGGTCTGACTTTGGGGTCTGACTTTGATTTCTTTCTTTGTAGAGTCGTTCAGATGAAGTGGGCACAGTTACCAGGGTGAGATAAGAACGAAGCCCCCATACACAGAATAGTTTCAATGAGGATTATATTGTGACAAAGCTCTGGCTATGCCCAGTGGATCCTGCACTTCTAGGCAGTTATTACATGCCTCAGAGGCTCAACGTGACCTTCCACACTGCCTCGGATCTTTTCTAGAGATCAGCGCCACAGCTTACTGAGCCAGTCTCATCAATGAGAAAGTCAAAGGATTGGGGGAAACCCCTCAGTAATCTTGGCCTCCCTTTCCAGGAGCAGACGTTTTAGTGGTGTGGGGAAGGTCAGGGAAACCCAGGCCTGCCTACTACTGGGGATTCCAGCCCAGGGACCCTCTGTAGCAGCAACTGCCAGTATTTTCCTTTAGCCCCATGTGGCGTAGTGAGAGTGCTGTCTGTTCACCCACATGTTGTGATATAGTGTCAGTACCTTGCTGGTTGCTGTGCTTGGGTTGTAGATGACCCCAACTGGCCTCTGCCTGTGAGCACTGCCCAGCAGGTGGGCTGCCTAAGTCACATAGACTAGACCCAACCGGTCAGATGAGTTGAGGCAGCGAGGGAACTCAGGAAGTGAATGTTCGGGGGAAGGGTCAGTCTTGGGCTGGAATCATGAAGGAACCAGTCTAAGGAGGGGGCTGGAATCTAGGGGCCCAGGGACCCCCTCTCAAGGGGTCAGAGGCATCCTGGCCCAGACTCTTGTAGCAATACCACATCTATGCTGTGCTATATCCTGGAGAAGCAATAAACCCTCTATTCTACTGGCTGGTGGAGTCTGTTCTTGCTTCTACGGGGGTGCAGAGTCAGGGAACCCCGACTGCGTTGTTACAGCTGGCCCAAGGTAGTGGCCCCAGACCATATGGTGCCCAACACTCAGCTGACCCTGAGAGGCATAGACAGGACCCCATTTAAGGTACCTGTAGCCTGGGTACATCTGAAATGGGGGGCCAAGGAGAGCCCCAGGGACATGGGGGTGCACCAGCACTTGCCCATAGAGGTGCTGATGGGAGGTTACCTAGAGGAGTGGCCAGATGGACTCCACTGGACCCTGGCCACCACCCGTAGCCAGAGGCCAGTAGGGGTCATGCACAGCCCACAATCCAAGCACAGCAACCAGCAAGGTACTGACACTATATCATAACATGTGAGTGAGTCAGTGGGAACCACACATCACAATGCAGGGGGATCCCGGGATACAACAGAGCAGACAGCACCCCCACTACGCCACACCCCAATACAGCTGCCTTTTCCCCAGGCCACTTCCCCAAATACTGCCCAACTACCTTTTAACCGCTATCTGAATGAATCTTGCCTGCTTCAGCACAAACCCTCTTTCTTTTCTCAGCTCTCAACAATACATCTTCACTCTTCTCCTTCCCCACTCTGAGGGGAAACCTTTTAAAATAACCCAGCAAGCCTTAATTGGCTGCAGATGCCTGATTAGTCTGCTGCTTCAGGCAAGCTCTTAATTAACCTTAGGTGCCTGCCTGCCTTGATTACGTGGCAGCAGTCTCTGGCAGCTTATTCAGGAAACAGAAAAGCATTCACCCAGCTCCCAATATGTCTACCCTCCACCAAACAACTGTAGCCAGCCGCCCTGGGTCTGTCGCAATGGCTGCGTCTCGACTGGCATGATTTTGCGGAAATACTTTTAACGGAAACATTTTTCCATTAAAAGTATTTCCGCAAAAGTGCATCTAGATTGGCACGGATGCTTTTGCGCAAAAAGTGCTTTTGCGTAAAAGCATCCATGGCCAGTCTAGATGCGATTTTGCGCAAGAATGCCCTGATTGCCAATTTAGCCATCGGGGTTTTTTTGCGCAAAACAGTTCTTCCCTGTCTACACTGGCCCTCTTGAGCAAGTATTCTTGTGCAACAGGGGTTTTTCCCGAGCAGGAGCGTGAAAGTATTTGAGCAAGAAGCACTGATTTTGTCCATTACAAAGTCAGTGCTCTTGCGCAAATTCAAGCGGCCGGTGTCGACTGCTTTTGCACAAAATCATGCCAGTCTAGACGCAGCCAATATGTATTAATCATAAAAACCTCCTGTGGATCACTTAAGATTTAGCAGTTGTTTCTATTTTGGATGCTATAATCACTCCACATTTCATGCCAACAGCAGAGGGAAAACAGATCCTCTGCTCTAAAAGCCTCCCTGTGGTACAAAGGACAAATTCCTATAGTCACTGACTATATAGGGCCTATGGCATACAGCAGAGCAGCTCTATGCCATGCAGTGGTGCTGTACTCTCTACACTCTTCAATATGTCAGCATATCAGCTGCACTCTGCTTCTAAGTCGGTACAACTGAAGTGAGCTTGATACAAAAATGCAGACAATCTCTGACTTGCTCCATGTCTCCCATTTTTTTTCCTCTTCCTGTTCACTCCAAATTCCCAGCTGCATTCTGTCCTTCTAATTCCTAAACTTTCCCCATGTCTGCTCCAGGGGCTTTGATCCTTCTTATGATTTACCTGGACAATGTCATAGCCCAAGATTCCGGTCATGCTGCCAGTGCCATACTGGATGGAGAGGCTCTCATTGGTGGACTCATAGGTGTAGGAGTCTGATGGGTTGAAGCGGTTGTGGTTTGCTGCAAAGTACAGAAGAATCAGATGGTCACAGACTGACTCTTGTAATTCTCCACATGATGTCGCATGGGGAGTCAGGGTGCCTAGACAGGCTGTGAATTCCTTAGTGGGGACAGAGTGCATAAGAGTAAAGCATCACAGTGCTCATTATTGCCACACCAAAGTGCCTTTATGGCTCTAGCTTCTGGTCTTACTAGACCATGTTCCCTCTAGGACACCATGCAGAACAGAAGGCACAATGGAGGGAGACCCTGCTGTTCTCTGACTTCCAGGGTGGATGAAAAAAGTGATGATTTAAAAAAAATCTGATTTTTTAAAATGTCAATACATTTTAAAAAAAGAAAGCAATCCTATTTAAAATTAACCTTGACTTTAGGACAACGTATGTTAAGGCCTAAACTTACTAAAATGCATTAAAATCGTTTAAATTACATACATAGGTTACTGCTAAGCAGTGCATGTTTTTTTAATTCAAAGAAAGTCAGTGGAATTGGTGGAATTTCAACACCTCATAATCTGAAAACAGAATTCCTTCAAGAGCTGAACAACTTTTGACAGCAGTGGCATTGGTAACACCCGGACACCTGTTTTCCTCTTCCAATCTCTGAATAAAAATTAGGCGTGAGAGGATGAGCTCAAGTTCTAAAATCTTCTGACACGCTGATCAGAAACAATCAGTTCAATTTGCTGACTACAACTAATACTTCCTTTGTTCATAAATCAGTTTTTTAAATGCAAACCATGTTTCAATAAATTAACTAATAATTAAAAGCCTGGATTTCACATTTGAAATTTAATTCCAATTTCCCAGCCAAAATGTGTTTGATATATATGAAAAAGTAACCATTATGTAGTAAATAAAAATGCATCCGTTATCATTTTCTAACAATTTAAAAAGTACAAATTATGAATCAGAATAGTAAGCTATATGATTGCATAAATAAATGTGTATTGGCATGGTATATACCTTGATTAACTAAAGAAAGTATATAATGTAAAGGCTACGTATAGTTGTAAATCAATATGTTTGTAATGGTCACAAACATGTGAGAATCAACTTCCTTTAGAAAAATAATTAAAAAGTACAAATGCAAAGCCAGTTTAAAACCAATCATTTCAATAAAGGTTCCTCCTTGCTAATTTAAATCTCCCTGATTTAAATCAATCCACCCAGCTGACATGTCAAGGCAAGAAGTGTTGCAGGTGACTTACTGCAGGCTAGGCTGGAGCAGTAAATAGAGGGCACCCACAGGTTGGAGGAGCCGGTGTCGAAAATGACAGTGAAATTCTGAGCTGGCGTGCCAATAGAGATGGTTCCGTAGTACTCAACCTGTCAAAGCAAGACAAAGAACAGTGGGAAAAGAGGGACCCATGGCCACTCAAGGGCTAGATCCACAGCTGGTACAAAATGGTGTTGTTCCACCAGCTGATTTACACCAACTAAGGGCTAGGCTATGGTTCCCTTGATAAAGGCTCAGACTGAGCTAGTGTTTCTCTGCCATCACTTTGCCAAACATGGCTCCTAGCAAAGTCATTTAGCTCCAGTCCCCATTAACCTCAGTAAGTGAGTGAAGGCACTGAAGAGGGGAGAACCAGCAGGCTTGGAAAATGCTCTTCTCAGTGCTCTTCTTAATGCCATCCAATCACAGCTGGGGGCTGGGTGGCCCAGAACAGGGACTGGGAATGGTTCATGGTGACAGCAAGAAGGGAGCTTGGTTGGAAGCACATGGGTGGGGGAACTGGAAGGGGCCCTTTTGGGAGGAGGGAGAGATCCCCTATTGACAGAAGAGGGGGAGATCCTGATGGGAAGAGGGAGGCTACAAGTCCTGCTCTCCTGCCATACTCACATCCATGTAGTTTGTCAGCGGCTCAGTAGCAAACTGGTCTCCAAAGCTAGGGAAATACTTAGAGGCCGGGTTGTAAGGGTGTTTTTTCAGAAAATCCTCCAGCAAGCCCTGTTCCTTAAGGTTCTGCCTGAGGGATTTCCCCTTCTTCAAGGAGACCCTAATCAACAAAAGTAGAGAGAGAGACTATCAATAACAGATAAACAATACACAAGTGGTCGGGGCATACCGTGCAATCCAACTTAACATTGCACTGCAATCTCTTAGTACACCTAGGATTACCAAAGTGTTTAAGGGAGTTGGGTGCCCAGTATACTGAAAGTCAATGGGAATTGGGCACATAATACCCATGGGACCCATGGAAAATCCTAGCCCATGTGTAATAGCAGAGAGATGACCCAACATGCTAGCAGCTGTACTAAAACATAGTAAGAAATAGTCCCTGCCCTGAAGAGATTACTGTTGAAATAGACAAGATGGACAAAAGAAGTGTTATCAGCCATCTTGCCTCTGTAGACCACACTGTTCTGGAAATCTTGTTCATGCAATCTCCTCTTGTCCAAATCTTGACCTTGTATGCCTCGCTTGATGAGAGTAATGGGACATAGGGGAGACCTCATTTTTTGGGAGACGGGATTAGGAAAGTAAATACACCATCTGACTGAACACAGAATGTCTGTGCTAACTAGGACAGGTAAGTGGGTTAGTAAGGCAAGAGTCTGAGTAGCTGAACTAGACGTTATAGGGCAGGAAACATCAAGGAAATCATTTACCAAGGACCAGGTAACAATGGACAAGACAAGCTTGGAACATAAAATGAGTAAGTTGCACATGGCATTGATAAGGTACAAGAATTAGTTCCTACAAAGTAACCAAGCCAGTCCTAAAACGAGTGATACAACACATAGTAAATGCAATGTAAAGGAAGAGGGTTTTTTGTGTAACCTTGGATCTGTGATCCACCCTATTTCTGCCCCCTGCAGCTGAATTTCATCAGCCCAGCGTAGCCAACTGTGTGGCAACGAAAGAGGAAAGTGAGGAAATCAGGCGTCAAACGGAGTGCTTATGAAGTGAAGTGGGAAGGGGTGTCGGAAGAAATGCCAACAGGCCCGTCTCCCTGACATTTCATCATGGATGTCTGGCGGTCAGCTCCACCCCCACATGACTGAAACAGAGCTCATCATCTTCCTCCTCCTGTCAAGCCCTCCTGCACTATTTCCTTCCTTGATCACTGTTGGCAGCCACGCCATTTTGCCTGTCACATAGGCCTTAACCTGGTGCAGGCCCAGCCTTTGGGCAAGGTGAGCGAGGCAGTCCCCTTGAGCCCTGCTCATTCAGGGCTCCGTGGCTCCATGCATTCAGGGCCCTGCGCTGCCCAGCTCCCGCCTCGCCCACTCGGCTGGGAGCCACACGGCCATGCAGCTCAGGTGCTGCCTTGGGCCCCGCACGCTCTTTGGCCGGGCCTGACCTAATGTCATCTACAATGTGGACTTTTCTCTAGCTCTTCATATCTATGTCTAGATCTTGCCAAATCTTCTTGCCTCAGCTCTCTGAGATTTGCCTTTCCTTCACACAAGCTATAGCTGCTCTCCTCACTTCATGTCTCAGTCGCTGCCACGTTCTGCTCCCTGGCTCAACAAATGCCGTCTTGCCCTATTCACGTGCATTGAGAATGCTGGTGCAAAAATTATTTCCCCGGTGTATCACTTTGACCATGTGTGATGGGGTGCCCTCCCAACACTCACGCTCCAAGGGTTAAGGTAGGCCAGAGGAGCCAATTAACCTATTCAGCAGCAAGCTGGGGGATTTGAAGCCCTAATTAGAAGCATTGTGTAGGAACATTAAGCCAAGGAGCAGACAGCAGAAGGGGACAGCAAGGAACTGGGAGAAAGGAGGCATGTTTTCAGACTCCAGCAGCAGGGAGCCTCCCTGGGAAGAGGGACTTGGAAGGCTGGCAAACCCAGAGAGTCGAGGAAGCCAGTCTGGTAAGAAAGGCTTAGGGAAAGTGGCAGCAAAGACCTTGGCTGCTGATTAGAATGTCCTTGAGTTGAGTAGAGGGCAGACCCAGGTTCCCCTACCAGCCATGGGGGAAGTGGTGCCAGTGGGAATGCAAAGACTGTTTGCGCCTGAGAAGGACATAACAAGGTTACTGTGTTACCCCAGAAAGGGAAGCCGCATAGTGACTAGGACAGAGGACCAAAGCATGAAGAGGCAGTGGCAGAATTCCTGGAATGACAGAGGGTCTGCAGACCAAGAAGGAGCAAGAAAAAGAGGGGGTGTAACTTCAGAAACTAATCCCCAAGGCCAGGAAGAGCTACTCTCTATCCGTGAGAAGAGCATCCTCTGATCCCATGACAGTCCTCTCTTTTTGCCCCTCCACCGGCTCCCCCTTCTCTGTCTCATCAGACATAAGCTGCTTGTCTTCATCTTCAAGGCCCTTCATGCTCAGTCCAACCCTGCCTCATTTGCTATCAAGCTGCTGTTACTTGTCTCCCATTTTTCCATGCTGCCAGCCTCTGCTGCCAACTTGGTAAATTTTTAATCTGGCACCTTTGGGCTTTCTCCCCCTTGCTCCCTGTGAATAATAAATACGAATCTGATCACCTCCGCTTCATGTACAGAAACCTGATCCCCAGAGAGAGACTCCGTGACTTGCCCAGGGTCACACAGGGAGTCTGTGGCAGAGCCAAGAATTAGCCCAGATCTCTCCAATGCCACTCCAGTGCCTTGACCACAAGGTCTTCCTTCCTCGTTCCTCTGGCACAGCACAAAGCTAAGAGGCCATTCCCAGCTGCTGCCTATTCACGAATGGAGAGTAGAGAAGAGAACAAGAGCAGGGAATACATTCCCCACACGGCTCCATAGAAAGCTGAGTTCAGCAGCCCAAAGTGGCATGTTCCCCCCGTACTCACTTTGTCAGCTGGCACTGAGAAAGCGCCACCAAACTCAGGAGCAGAAGCCACTTCATGATGTTTTCTGACACGCAGGCCGGTGGCAACATCTCACTATAGAGAAATGCCTGAGTGCTGTGACTTATATACACATCGCTCAGAGCTTTTCTTATCGCATAATTAGCCCTGATAAGAAATGTAAACCTTTCCGGTAAGAACTTACAAAATGTCCATAAATGAAATTATGTAGAAAATAAATTTCCGCCTTCACTTGGCTGTGACCTGAAAATGAGGCCTAGCGAGAAGGGGTAAGAATTCAAGGACATCTTAGCCTTTAAAAGAAATGCCTGTGGGTTGTTTTAAACTAAAGAATGGAGCAGGAAGCACAGAGGAATAGGAATGAGATACGGAGACATTCACTGCTCAGTGTTTCGTACCAGTCTGTGTCCATGCTAGAAGAGAGGGTACCTCTTTGAGTCTGGAGCCTTCTGCACTTTGCGACACACTATAGCCATGTAGTACGTAACAGGTATCTTGGTGTAAAACTCCAGTTCCCACAATTAGGTCATTTAGTCTGAATCTGAGCCCAGGTCAGCACAGAAAGCTGAAGTCAGTGGACTGAGAAATAGGGTGTAGGGCAGTGTTTCTTAAACATTTTAAGACCGAGGAACACCAAACAATTTTTTTTTAATGCAGAACAACAAAGGTTTTTTGTTGAGAGAGAGAGAAAAAAAAAGAAGGCTTGCCCCTTTAAGGCTGGCCATTTTGAACTCTGTTCTCCCTGGCACACCTCAGACTGCCTGGAGGAACACAAGTGTGCCATGGAACAAACTTTAAGAAACACTGGTGTAGGGTATGGGGCACACCTCAGACTGCCTGGCGGAACACCAGAGTGCCACGGAACACACTTTAAGAAACACTGGTGTAGGGTATGCTACAGGCTACATGACTGTCTGACTTAGAAATGTGATACGGAGCCTTTCACCTCTTGGGTGCTGGTTGATACTCACCCAGTTCAACAGCAAAAAGTTTCTATTGCCTGACAACTCTTGAGTGAAGTATGTTGGTGGTCTCTGTCCATCTCCTAGAGGGAGAGCTGAGGGTTATGAAGGATGTGGTGTTTGTTTGGGGACAAGAGGATGGAGTGAAAGTGGATGAGTGTGACATGACTACCTTCAATGAGGGCAAATCATAAGTTGTCCTTTGGAAAGACAGGACTAAGATCGTGGTGGATTATGGAGACCTCTGCTAAAGGGCAAGAAGGAAGCAGATATCATAGATGGTAAAGTCGCCATGGGTTAGACCTCAGTGGGAGAGAAAAGGAGGAGATCAAGGAGCTGATAGAGAAGGTATCAGAGCCTCTAGGTCTCATCTTTGAAAAATTATGGAAGTCAGGAGAGATTCCAGAAGACTGGAAAAGGGAAAATATAGTGCCCATTTATAAAAAGGGAAATAAGAACAACCCAGGACACTACAGACCAGCCAGTTTTAACTTCTGTGCCAGGGAAGTTAATGGAGCAAGTAATTAAGAAATTAATCTGCATACATCTGGAAGAAAATAAGGTGATAGGTAACAGCCAGCATGGATTTGTAAAGAAAAAATCATGTCAAACCAATCCGATAGCTTTCTTTGACAAGATAACAAATCTTGCGGACAAGGGAGAAGCAGTGGACATGGTATACTTAGACTTTAGTAAAGCATTTGATACAGTCTCACATGACCTTCTTATCAACAAACTAGGGAAATACAACATAGATAAGGCTACTGTAATGTGTGTACATAACTAGCTGGATAACAATTCTCAGAGAGTAGTTATTAATAGTTCAGAGTCATGCTGGAAGGGTATAACAAGTGGGGTTCTGCAGGGATCTGTTTTAGGACTGGTTATTTTCAATATTTTCATCAATAATTTAGTTGATGTCGTAGAGAGTATGCTTATTAAGTTTGCAGATGATACCAAGCTGCGAGGGGATGCAAGTGCTTTGAAAGATAGCATCATAATTCAGACTGATCTGGACAAACTAGAGAAATGGTCTGAGGTAAATAGGATGAAGTTTAATAAGGACAAATGCAAAGTACTCCACTTAGGAAGAAACAATCAGTTCTACACATACAGAATGGGAAGCAACTGTCTAGGAAGGAGTACTACAGAAGGGGATCTAGGGGTCATAGTGGACCACAAGCTAAATATGAGTCAACAGTGTGACACTGTTGCAAAAAAAGCAAACATGATTCTGAGATGCTTTAACAGGAGTGTTGTGAGCAAAACACGAGAAGTCATTCTTCCGCTCTACTCTGTGCTGATTAGGCATCAGTTGGAGTATTGTGTCCAGTTCTGGGCAGCACATTTCAAGAAAGAGGTGGAGAAATTGAAGAAGGTCCAGAGAAGAACAACAAAAATGATTAAAGGTCTAGAGAACATGACCTATAAGGGAAGATTGAAAGGATTTGGCTTGTTTAGTGTAGAAAAGAAAAGACTGAGGGGGGACATGATAGTGGTTTTCAAGTATCTAACAGTGTGTTACAAGGAGGAGGAAGAAAAATTGTTCTCCTTGGCCTTTGATGATAAGACCAGAAGCAATGGGCTTAAATTGTAGCAAGGGAGGTTTAGGTTGGACATTAGAAAAAACTTCCTGTTAGGATGGTTAAACACTGGAATCAATTGCCTAAAGGGGTTGTGAATCTCCATCATTAGAGATATTTAAGATCAGGTTAGACAGACATCTATCAGGGATGATCTAGACAATACTTGGTCCTGCCATGAGGGCAGGGGACTAGATTCAATGACTTCTCAAGGTCCCTTCCAGTTCTAGAATTCTAGGATTCAGCTTGTAGTCTGAGGGTACGTCTAGACTACATGCCTCTGGCGACAGAGGCATGTAGATTAGGCTACCGGACATAGGAAAATGAAGCGGTGATTTAAATAATCGCCGCTGCATTTACATTTACATGTCTGCCGCGCTGAGCCGACAAACAGCTGATCAGCTGTTTGTCAGCTTGCGCGCTAGTCTGGACGTTCCCTCTGTCGACATCAAAGCCCTTTCTCGGCAGCCCCAGTAAACCTCATTCCACGAGGAATAACGGGGCTGCTGACAAAGGGCTTTGATGTCGACAGGGGAAACGTCCAGACTAGCACGCGAGCTGACAAACAGCTGAGCTGTTTGTCGGCTCAGCGCGGCAGCCATGTAAATGTAAATGAAGCGGCGATTATTTAAATCGCCGCTTCATTTTACTATGTCCGGTAGCCTAATCTACATGCCTCTGTCGCCAGAGGCATGTAGTCTAGACGTACCCTGAGTCCCTGACCCTGGGACAGATGATAGGTTCAAGTCCAAATGGCCTAAATGGATGGGAAGGCCTCACTTCATAACCCTGGCACTGCAGCCAACTCGTTCCTGGCCGGAATCAGATCAATGCCATATCCCAGGAGCAGGTTGCACTGCCTGAAATAACAACAAGAATCCAATCAGATTAGACAACAATGTTTACTTTCCAGTTTGCACTACCAGGTTCCTGACAAGCAAACATCATGAGCCACATTCCACTACCCACTAACCAGGGCTTAATAACCATGCACCTGCCGTGAAAATGTGTGCTGGAATTCCTAGCTGGAAATAAAAATCCTTTTAAGAAGCATCTAAACTGAGGGGACCAGCCATCTGGAAAGTTCAGAAATAGAAAATGGAGCCATTGTGCCTCCAACGAGTCTGGCCACAAATTGGGGAAATTCCACTTCTAAGCCTCTAGGTCCAGGCTGAGCCTAAATCAAGTGATGGATGTTTGGTGCCCCCATGTCAGATGAATGAGGAGAGGATGGGTCTCAGTACTAGAACCTGGAGGAGCAGTTCACATTGCTAGACAAATTAATCATAGGAGATACTAACTGGGGCCCTTTCTCTCAGTAGATAAACCAGAGATGAAATGAGTCATAAAAACAATCCTCCTCCATTTCCCCTACCTTTAAAGGTAGCTCTTCCTGGTAAGGGCAGGAGCAGACTGAGGGACCTAGAGATACTGGAGTTGTGTGTCCTGGACTTCTCCCTAGCGCTGACGTCACAGTGAGAGATCTCTCCCAGGTGCCCTTCCCTTCTGCTCCCTGTCTTGGTAATGCCATGTGCTCCGTCTCGCCTCCCCCTGGCAGGCCTGTTAAGACTGAAAGTCTAGAAATCATGGAGATTCTATTCCAGTGACTCTATGCCCTAATCTAAGTGTTTGATGAATATTCATGAGCTCAACAACAGAAACCACTGAAAATATCTCGATGACAAGAATTTGAACTTGACAAAGCTCCAGCATGGAACAACCTTTAGGAGCACAAGAATTTCCATGCTTCTGGCTGGCTCTGGTTCGGCACCCAGGTAGCTCTGGGTGGGTCTGGGTAGGAATGGTGTCCCTGGCCTCTGTTTGTCAGGCTGGGAATGGATGACAGGAGAGGGATCACTTGACGATTCCCTGTTCTGCTCACCCCCTCTGGGGCATCTGGCACTGGCCACTGTGAGGAGAGAGGATGCTGTCTTAGATGGACCTTTGGTCTGACCCAGTATGGTCGTTCTTATATTCTTATGCCCCGGATTGCTCCTTCTCCTGGGTGGGTGGAAGTTGGGTGGGCTTCAGGAAATCCAAGAGCCCCTCTTCACTCAGTCATTGAGTTCCACCTGCCTGTGCTTCACAGGACATGGGCTTCTGCAGCACCCCTCCCCATGACTTCCTGTGTGTGAGAGGCTGAACGCATTGAGCGGTACAATGCCCAATATCCAACCAAAACATAATAACAGCAGCACTTAACAAGCAACATTTACGTAACTTGCTCCTCCAAACCCTTGTCGCCAACCTACTGGCTAATCTTGGCCAGTTAATCTCTGCGATGCCCTGTGCTGGTCTCCCTGCCAGATCAGCACTTATGTTGTCCGCAGGCAATGAGTCACTTTTGTTCCAGAGGTGACCCATTTCGGGGCTCGATTGCTTTGACCTGTTACCTAACTGAGACCCTCTTGGGCCCAAATGTCCAACCCAGCAACCCATGTCCTTCTATTCTGGAAGTTGGAGAAGGTGTCACCTATCCCTCATCTGTATGGGGTGAAAGCTTAATACAACTGCAGGGCAGTCTCACTTAA